GGGGGTTAAGGGGGTTAGGGTTAAGGGGGTTAAGGGGGTTAGGGTTAAGGGGGTTAAGGGGGTTAGGGTTACGCGGGTTAAGAGGGTTAGGGTTAAGGGGGTTAGGGTTAAGGGGGTTAGGGTTACGCGGGTTAAGGGGGTTAAGGTTACGCGGGTTAAGGGGGTTAGGGTTAAGGGGGTTAAGGGGGTTAGGGTTAAGGGGGTTAAGGGGGTTAGGGTTACGCGGGTTAAGAGGGTTAGGGTTAAGGGGGTTAGGGTTAAGGGGGTTAGGGTTACGCGGGTTAAGGGGGTTAAGGTTACGCGGGTTAAGGGGGTTAGGGTTAAGGGGGTTAAGGGGGTTAGGGTTAAGGGGGTTAAGGGGGTTAGGGTTACGCGGGTTAAGAGGGTTAGGGTTAAGGGGGTTAGGGTTAAGGGGGTTAGGGTTACGCGGGTTAAGGGGGTTAGGGTTAAGGGGGTTAGGGTTACGCAGGTTAAGGGGGTTAGGGTTAGGGTTACGTGTGTTAGGGTTACGTGTGTTAGGGTTACATTAAGGGGGTGCGGGTTAAGGAGGTAAGGGTTACGCGGGTTAAGGTTACATGGGTTAGGGTTACGTGGGTTAAGGGGGTTAGGGTTACGTGGGTTAAGGGGGTTAGGGTTACGTGGGTTAAGGGGGTTAGGGTTACGTGGGTTAGGGGTTAGGGCTACATGGGTTATGGTTACGTGGGTTTTGGTTAAGTGGGTTAAGGGGGTTAGGGTTAAGTGGGTTAAGGGTTAGGGTTGCGTGGGTTAGGGTTGCGTGGGTTAGGGTTACGTGGGTTAGGGTTACGTGGGTTAGGGTTACGTGGGTTAGGGTTACGTGGGTTAGAGGTTAGGGATGACTGATCATGACCGTGCCAAGCTATCTTCCTTTCATACAACCAGCTTACGCCAAATCCTCCGAATCTTCTGGCCCGACAAGATTTCCAGCGCTAATCTGTTACGAAAATGTAGGCAAGAGGACAGGGACCACCATAATAAAAAAGGAGAAGATGGAGATGGATTGGACATATTCTGAGAACAGAACCAGGCACTTTTGTGTCCTCCACAGGACACCCGAAGGACATTGCAAGAGGAGCAGAACCAGGACACCCGAAGGACATTGCAAGAGGAGCAGAACCAAAGTGACCTGGAGACTAACAGTAGAGTCTGAAATGAAGTCCTGGGACCATTCATGGGGAACGTTGACCAAGATGGACCGAAACAGACAGAGCTGGAGATCCTTTGTTGCTGCCCTAAACGCCAGATGGCGTGACTTCTTCTTCTTCTTCTTCTTCTTCTTCTTCTTCTTCTTCTTCTTCTTCTTCTATCCCGTTGTTGAGGCAACCGTTGGGGCAACACTGCATTTGAAAACCAGCTCTCGCCATCTATTTTTGTCCTCTGCTCTCCTCAGATTGTCACCCATCGTCTTTCCTGTCCACTCTGTAATGTTGTCCTCCCATCTCCTTCTCTGCCTTCCTCTCTTTCTCTTTCCTTGTACGGTTCCTTGCAGGATTGTTTTGGCAAGTCCTGTGGATCTTGTGACATGCCCATACCATTTTAGTTTTCGTCTCTTCACTGTGGTCAGTAGATCTTCATATTGCCCCACTGCGTTGGTGATTCTCTTTCGTACTTCAGCATTTGAAACGTGGTCTTTGTACGAGAGGTCAAGGAGTCAAACGGGTAGTAAGTAAGTAATAATATTACATTGAATAATATTTTAAGGGTATCGACTGCAGCTGTGAGAAGCCTCATTCATGAAACTAGTTTATTTGTTGTTGTGAGAAGCCTCATTCATGAAACTAGTTTATTTGTTGTTGTGAGAAGCCTCATTCATGAAACTAGTTTATTTGTTTTTATTGTCGTTGTATGGTGTTGGTTTTGTTAGTTTTTGTTTGTTTTGGGTTTTATTAAGCATTGGGGGTTTTTGTTTTGTTTTGTGTGTGTGTGTTTGTGTGTGTGTGTGTGT